TATTCTTCTAGCCAAACTTTGTTTCTTTTTATTTTTAATTTTAAGAATGTATGGTTGAGGTGCGAACATGATCAACAAGTTTGGTATGTTTGGTTGAAAAGAAATTGTACTTTGGAAAGAATATAAGTATGCAGGAGTGTAAACGAATCTAATCAAATTAACCATCCTAGTGTTTGAGTTTGTTTGATTATTTTATTGAATTTGAAATTTTGTTCAAGTTTCGCTTGCTTATTTGTCCAATTGAATGTGAATGAGTTTTTTTTATCGAGTTTGAAAGTTGTTCAACATAAAATGCTAATAAGTTTGATTTGATTAGTTGGTGAATCAAGATAAATGAATTCTTTCGAAATCGAATTCGATTCGAGTATTTTTTTTTTCTGCAACGGTAGTTTTTATATTGATTGGCAAAAGATGTACACTTATATGAGCAAAGGCCCAAGGAGTTCTATTCAAAAGTGTTAGAAACACTGAGGGTTAATCCATCCCTCATCTTGAAAAATGCCTAAGGCATAATCACTAATCAAATCACTTCTTTTATCTAATCTCCTATCTAGACAAAAGGAGCATTTTTGGAACAATGCTCTGAGGTTGTTAATATCATTAGCCAAAGTAGATATTTTGATATCCTTAGCCACTCCCGACGTAATCACTTTCAGCAGCTGTGGGTTGGGAATATGGACTGTAATTTTCTGCCATTGCTGCTGTCTGGCCTTTATAATGGCCATCTTCACAGCTTCTGCTATAGTTTGCAACTGATTTACTGATTTCCTATCAACAAGTGCCCAGGCTGACACCACCTGATAGCTGTGGTTAGTTGCAAAAATCCCAATACCAACACTTTTGGACTGTTCCTGCACACTAGTTGATATTTTGATTTGCATTTCATCACTTCGTACCTCCATTGGTTCTACTTCCTCACCTTTCCTTCCATTCATTTCTCCTTTTCCATATTTGCCAAAGGATATTCGTGGTAAGCTCTATATGCTCCCTCTCCTCTTTCCTACATGAGGCTTCCAGCATTGCAGTCCACCAAACTCTAAAATTCCCTGTCTGTCCAGTTAGCCCATCCCACTGTATTGGGGCCATTTTCCATACCTCTTGAGCTCTGCTGCATTGAAAAAACATATGTTCAATAGACTCACTATGTTCTCCATAGCCATCACATATTGGATCTCCATGGTGTGTTCTATTAAACACCAAAGCATTAACTGGCAGAAGCCCATTTAGGCTTCTCCAAATGAAGTGTTTTATCTTGCTTTTGACTTTCAGCTTCCACAACCACTTCCATTGCTTTCCATTGGAGTTTGCTGAGCTCGTTTCTGCCTCATCTGCTCCTCTTCCTAGGTGTTGGGTTGCATCTCTACTCAAAGCCTTGTATCCAGAATTGACCGTATAGATGCCATTGCCACTATGTAGCCAGTAGTTGCTGTCTTCCCTTCCTAAGATACTTATAGGGATATCCAGAATTTCGTCAGCATCCTTCCTATTGAATGTTCTGAGTACCAATGGTTTCCTCCATCTAAAGCCACTGGTTTCCTATTTAATGTTCTGAGTACCAATGGTTTCCTTCCTATTAGTTCATCTTTTTAACATATCTAGTCTGTTGGAGAATAGGGAGGTTTTCAATTGGGTTGTGATTGCTGACGTGGGGCGCTGCTATTGGCTGATTGGTGGTCGTCCGGCCCGTGCGAATTTCCAATTGATGGTTGTCCATTCCCACGCGTGAATTCTTTTGTTTTGTTTGCTCAGACGTTTAGCAATCCTTTTGTTTCTTTGTTTGTCGAATGCCTGAAGTCTTCCGCTAAAATCTGGTCCCATGTGCCTTTGATTTTTTTTTTCTTTTCCCGGCTTTTTATTGGATTGGAAGTGCTTGTTAACATATTACATGTGGGATTGTGCTAAAATTTGGTCCTTTTTTTCCCTTTCCCAACAATAAATTGTGTTGCCAAAAAATTTGGTATCCCAATTCTTTACACTTATTAGTGCTTTCTTTTGGTTTCTAGATAAATTGCAATTATTAATTATTAATTTTTATTGTAATAATTGCTTATGTTATGCTTGAACTGTATTAATTATTATATATTATCATTTTTTTGTAATTGCTTTTGTTATACTCCAATTGTGAAAATTTTACTCTTTATTTGATTTTCTTCCAACAACAACCTAGCTAATCTCACTGAAAAAAAATTGGTGCACTTTATTTATTTATTTATTTTTGAATTAGAGGGGAAGGCATTAAACTATTATTATCAAATTTTCATGACAATCTTTATTTGGTATTGATTCTACGTAAACAATCGACAATGTGGTGCCTTTCCATTAGTGTCATTTATTATTTGGTCATGCCACACATCATGTTTAATTATCGATTCCCCGCTATTAATTGTTATAATTATTTATTTACCTATTTTTATTTGGGTTCCTTTTTTTTTGTTACCAAATAAATCACATTTAATTACCGATTTTTTACAATAAATTGTTAATAGCTAATAAATAATACCATTTTTTTGTTACTGTCATTTTTTTTTTGTTACCCAACAAATCACATTTAATTCATAACTTTTTTTCAATTATTAGCAAAAAAAATTTTTTGTGCTTGTCAAAAAAAAATCACATCTAATTACCCTTTTTTCAAATTTCATTAGGAAAATGTCCTCTTTTGTTTTGGGTTGCCCAACAAATGAAGTTTAATTATCAGCTTTTTTCAATTAATTTTTTATTAATTCAGTTCTAATTTTGCAGTTTTATTGCTAGATAAATCACATTTAATTACTAGCTTTAATAATAATTAATACTTTTTGTTACCCAAAAAATTGCATTTAATTACCAATTCTATGTAGTTATTAGCCAAGAAATATGGTTGTCTTATTCTTTTCTTTCGTTACTTTTCCTGTCGTAACCAAACTTCTTATTGCTAATGTGATTGACTAATTTTTACAAACAAGCCTGCATTTTGTTTGTTTAGTTCCAAAGCATGCTTTCTCGACTTCCTCATTAGGCGTTACTTGTCACCAGCCTGTTTTTGCCGACAAGTGACTCTGCTTGAGCTAATTAATGCCTACCTTATTTCACTATATTACCCATCCCTTGTGGCTACATTTACGCTCCCACTCAACAAGCCTTGTAGCCTTTTTCCCTTCAATTACATTTAAACCTCCCCATTTATTTTGGGTTGGCCAACAAATCAAGTTTAATTACAAATTTTTTGCAATTAATTTCACCGAAATTAAGTTATACTTTCACAGTTTTATTGCTTGATAAATCACATTTAATTACCAGTTTTTATAATTATTAATATTTGTTACCTAATAAATCACGTTTAATTACCAATTTTGTGTAGTTATTAGCCAGAATTTAGCCTCTTTTTTCGCCTGCCAATCAAATCACATATGGTTGCCCTTTTTAACAATTAATTGTTAATTAATTCATTAATAACGTTACTTTTTTTGTTGCCTAACAAATCGCAATTAATTACCAATTTGTTGCAATTAATTGTTATTTAATTAATATATCTACCTTGCTCCAGCTTCAGAAAAACGCTTCTCGTTAGTCTTTTCTTCTTTGCTTTTGGTGGTCTTAATTAATTGATTCGTAATTAACTACTTTTATAAATTAACACGCTTAATTACCAATTCTTTGCAATTAATTATGGACTATTTGTTTGTAGCCGATATTTTGTTCGTTTAGTTTTGATGCATACTTTCTCGATTTCTTCATCCGCCATTTCACCTTCACACTACTTGTCATCAACCTCTTTTTGTTGACAATTCATTGTACCTGAGCTGAATAATGTCTGCCTTATTTCACCATATTACCCATCCCTTCTGACTGCATTTACGCTTCCACTCAAAAGGTCTTGTAGTCTTTTTGTCCTTTACTTGGGGTTATGTCTGTAAATCTGCAAAAAAAGTCACTTTTCCCCGCTGTCGACCATCAGCTCTTTTGCTCCCATTGATTGACATTGTTTTGTCATTTGTGTTTTGCATTTGCACCATGGTTATACACAGCTTCTCTGGTTTTCCACACCAGATTTTCTACTGATCATCATCATGATCAGTGGTAATTGTGCATCTACTGCTTTCTTTTCCCTATTCTATTGCTCTTGTTTCTTTGCTAGACAGAAAGACCAGAGACCTACCTCGTAAGTATTGTTTTCTTTAGCTATTTTGAACCTTCCTTTTTCTCAATTTATTGGTTTGGTTTTAGTTTGCACTGGTGTTGCCGTTGCTGCTTCCTTGTGAGCATGTTGGCTTTATGCTTCACTTTCCTTTGTTTTTCTCTAATTCTTCAAATATTTCGGAATTGCTGTCATATTGCTTTGTTTCTTATTTCTTGCTTGCTTCTCTGTTTTCTCATGCACTAGTTCGACCATTTTAATTTTTTTCTCTCTCTTCTAAATTACTATCACCGAATCAGTTTCTCTTTTTTCTTTCCCATTTTTTGTCACCTTTTCTTATTATCTCTTACATGGTCGTGGTTTCTTTGATAGCTTCTGCTGTTATTCAGTTCTGCGGTGTTGGACTTCTTTATACACGCTGGTTAGTTACTCTAATTTTGTTCTTCTTTTACTCCTTTCTCTATATTCTATCCTTTAATTTGTATATCCTTGACATGCATTTTCTGATGCATTGTTACTTGCATCCTTGACCATCAATTGTTACTTTTTTTGGATCACAATTTTTTGTGTGATCTTGTAGATCGCTCACTATTTTTTCATCTGGCTACTCACAGGTTTTATTTTCTCACCTTCATTTTCCCTTTTTTACGTATAATTTCTTCTTTTTTTGCTTGCCATAACTTTTCTGTATAATTCTTTTTTTCTTTTGGGAGCCACAAAAAATCTCCCTCGACCTTTAAGAAAAGGAAATAAAAGGGTGTTCCAAAAAAAAAGGCAAGTCTCCTTAACTCGCTAAACAAAATCATGATTTGTTAATATTTTGTTCTATTTTCTTATCACCTAGATCGACACGATTTCCATATCTTGAACTTTGAAGACTAATGGAGCACGAGAAGAAGGAAAGAATAGTTCAGTTTTTGGCAAAATGTTCACTTCAGGTTTGCCTTTGGTTTTTTTTTTTTCTAGCATTTTTTTGCTGATTTTTCCTTGGCTAAAAGCAACAAATCACCTTTCCCTCTTCCTTCGTGTCCTTTGTATGTTATGCTTTTGGATTTTATTACAAAGGAATATGTTCAACTTGAAAAAGTATTGCATCGGTATGAACTGGATGTGAAATTTTGGAAATGCATTTTAGATGTTTAGTGCTTAATGTCTGGTTATTAATTGGGAAACACAATTTCTTCACTTCATGCCAATCCTTATGCTTTATTGTGATTTTCTTGTTCCTTATTGTGGTCTCACATATCCTATGATAGATTTGATGGTCTAACATATTAATTATCTATGCTCTCTCATAAGTTTCAAATGTTTGTTGTAGCTTGAGATGTTAAGATCTGCGAATTCTTTTCTCAAGGTGAGCATTGTATCGACTCTCTGTGTTTTTCCCATAGAGAAAAGTTAATATAATTTCATTTTCCTTTTATTTTTCCTAATAAATTTGATTTTTCTGATATTTATTTATTCTAAATTTTTGTTAGATGAAGGAACAAAGCAAAAAGGAGGCTAATTTTTTTCATTTAGCCTTAAAGGTATGTTTTGATGTTTTAGTGTTCTCTTCATTTTTTTCTTAGCATTTTACCATAATTTTCTGGTCACATTACCCTATTTACTATTCTTGAAAAATGTCGAGTATGAAATTTTGTGAAAGTACTGCGTTTCCTTTAGATTTAGAGTCAGTTTCTTTAGTATTTTACCTATTTTAGTAAATTCATCAATAAGAGGTTGCAAGTCTTCTTTGGCTGCTCCATTCCTTTAAGATCTTTAGTCCAGGATTAATAGCATTTGTTTTCACCCTATTTCATTGAAAGTTATGATTGCTGATGAAATCATTATAAATTTTTTCTTTGCTTTGATGGTGTCATTTTTTAATAAATCTTTAGATGCAGTAATTTCTAAGAAAATGATGTACATTGACTGATTGTAGCTTTTGTTACTCGCTGTCCTATCCTCCTAATGCTTTCATGTTTGAGTAGTCAGAATGATGTAACTGAAATGGCTAAAAGAATCTTAAGATAAGATCTTTGCATATAGAAAAAGAATGTTCATGTGCTCCATCCTAGTTGTAAGTTTAAAGATTGCCACCCTAAATTTTTAGCCAAATTGTGTATAGTGGGGAATGATCAATAGGTGGTGATTACTCCTTAGCTTCTCCACCTTTTCTCAATTAGGCAACTAGAATTTTCTAACACCTTTATGTTAAAAAGAAAATTAAAATCTAAGAATTACATAGAGAATAAATTGCGTTTTAGGATTTAAAAAATAAACTCTAACAAATATCAAACTAATATATTGAAATTTCTCTGTAGCTTTTTCTTGATTTTTTGGAGCTTTTTGTTCTATCATTGAGCTTTTTAAGAAAGAAGAGAAAATTTTCTTTTAGTTTAAATTGATGTCCTATGTTCATTCATGTTGTCTCGACGAAAATGTGGCATGAATGAAATATAACTACATGATTTATAGGCTAAAATGCATATGTTGTTTTTGATTTTCTGTTCTTTATTTATTTACCTAGCATTCATGTTTGAGAAAAAATTGGCTAGCAGGAGGTATTTATCCAAATAAGATAGTGGCTCAAAATGCGTCTGCTGTTTATTGGCTTTCTATTTTTTATTTATATATCCAACATTAATGTTTGAGAAAAAGTTGAATGGCAAGAGGTATTATTCAAAATATAATTGTGGCTCAAACTTATGAGTAGGGAATGTGTTCTTGACGACTTTGTTTTATATTTCATGCTTTAGTATTTGCAATGAAATGTGGCAAAAACTACGGGTGCGTTATCTGTGATTTAACAAGATTGTCATTCTACTATTTACACAAAATGTTATTAAATTATAATATGATTCCTTCTTGGCAGATCTGATTGATATTTAGATAGCTGGAACTTGGAAGCTAATGGAAGTTGTGACAACCCCACCTTCCCCTAAAGCAAACCAAAAGGTCAACGGACCGCCTGCCCAATTCTCGCCAGGACTACAGATCAAATCATTCATAACCCTTATCAAATGGTCCAAAGAACTTCGAAAAAATGAATCATCAGAAAACGCAAAGGATCGCGGAACGCGTCAAAATCCGACCAATTGTTTTCTTCCTCGTTCAAGCTTTGCACTCGCTCGATTTTTCCAATGGATACAAGAAAGTTCACATTACCATAGGAACGTACAATCTCAAATGAATACGCTTGAAACACTTGATTAAACACTTATTTACATATATTCATCAGAGTCTTCAACAAGTTAACTTGAAATACAAGCCATAGTAACCATACGTTTACAAAGGACAATTAAGGTTTCGATTATAGAGGAGCATAATCAAAAGAATGTCTACACTAGCTCGACTTTTTCTTCAAAAATCATAGCTCTCAAAATTATGAACCCTGTAAGGAAAACAAAAATAATGGGAACGGGGTGAGCTTACGCTCAATGAGGTATCACAAGTATAAGTAGTCAAGAATCATGGCATTTCACTTTTAAGGCACATATACTCAACACACATAGGAAATGAACAAACACCTCAAATAGAAAGGATACAAGTGGCTCTCAGGAGCCAAATTCCCATTGCAGTATTTCATCACAACTCGTTGACTCTCCGTCAACATTCGGAGAAACCAACATGACTGTAGACCCCACTTTACACCAAATTTCGTTCACCAAACGTACCCCTTGCCGGGCCCGAACTCTTCAACAGGAAACATGAATTGTAATACTTGAGTATACCGGAAATCCAGAGTCTCCAATATCCAAAAATTTTCCAAGAACAGGCACCCATGGATTGTCAATTTTCCTCGATCAAGTCCTTACTGGCTCGATTCAATTGACTCTCCATGAGGTTGAGTTCAGGTTTAACAGAAAGGTCGTTGGATACACTTCCAACGACATCATAGCAGACATAGATAACAAGTCCAAATTGATACAGGAACTAGTAAACAAGCAAGAGAAACGAGTGTGATAAAGTACACCCTCGTCTCATACAGAATAAACAGGAGTCACAGTTAATCGAGTCACAAATTGCAAGTACAGATAAACCAGTTAAGTAACAATTCAGGAGAATGGTACACTCACCAGTTCATCGCACTAGTGGGACCCACGTCCAATATACACTACTAACGTCACATAAACTAACTTGTACCGGAAAAAATGTCTTAACAACTTAATTCCCTTATAAAAATCTTTCAAAAATTAATATAATAAAGAAAGGTATAAAAATTGTATGCAAGAAAATAAACTAATGACTAGAAAATAAAGAATTTTTTTCGAGTTCTCACAGAAGCTCATGGAGTTTTGTCATGAATGCTTGATACTTTGTTTTATCCTTTCCAATATCTTTAGCAAAAGCCATTATTTACTTCAACAACCACTTGCTTTAGTATAGATATCAAACTTTGTGATGATTTTTTTTTTTTTTGAAATTTTGACCACTAATACATAGTTCCACTGTAATTGGCTGATTGAACGTGATGCTAGATAAGAAAAGACGAGAGGCATTTCTAGATATAGCAATCAATATTTCTGGATAAATGTATCTTATATCTTAAATTGTAACTTTCACAGGTAATGAGATGCATCGTACAGTTGGAGAGCTTACCTCAATTATGTGTTATTATGCTCTTCAACTTTATTAGTATTATTTCTTTTCTTAATTGAAATGTTGACAAAATGCTTCATTATCTACCACATACAGAAAATGATAAAAAAATAATTTTTAGTTGGAAAAATAAAGCCAATGAGGCCTCTGGTCATATTAGCCTTTTAACTTCCCACCGGGCATATTAAATTTGTAACTATGTGCAGTGTTCCTCTCCTAGTATCCTAAAAAGGGACAAGGGGCACAAACGGTTACAGGTGCAACCGCTTTTGCCGATTATGCGCATTTTTCACTGTGCGTAACTTTGATTGCACACGGTGTAACTTTCTTTGCACACGATGTAATTTTAAAACAAATTTTTGTGGGTCCCACACACAGCGTGAAAATCGAGTTACAATCAATGTTTTAAAACCCGGGCCGTCAATTGAACCGGTGAAGTGAAAGAGTCGAGATTCAACCGGTCGGACCGGTTCAATCTCGGTTCAATGAATTTTTTAAAAAATAATTTATATAAATATATATATACACAAAATAAGGCATGCAATAGACTAATTTAAAACTTTATATGATGAAAAGTTAAGTATTTTTGAATAACTTGGATTTTCAAAAATAAATTTTTTAAATTATAAGTTAAAACAAATAAATTTCATTTCAATTTCAATTATATCTACCAAAATAATCTTAAATCTAACCCAAAAATATCACAATATTTTGAAATTATACAAAATTCATGCCTATGAGAATTTGACATTGTGAACTTAAATTTTAATTTACGTCTTTGAAATTTAGAGATTGCAATTTAAAAAGGAAAGTTTGGAGTTCGAAGGAAGTCAAGAGAATCGAAAATAGAAATGCAAACTTGATAAGAAACAAAAAATGAGATAAAAGTGAGTGGTTGTAGCATTAAATAATTTGGGTTAAAGAAAAATAATTCTTTTTTAACTTTTTTCAAATTTGTGTTTACATTTCCGCCATTTGACTTTCTCACTCAGTCCATATTCATTGGAAAGAAAAAAATTCTCCATATTCACATTTTTTGTCCACTCGAAAATTGTTATTAGCGCCCAATTATTTATCAATGTTCCCTTATTTAATACTTATTTACCAGTCAGTTAGGTAACAATATCCTTATTCAATCTTACTACCTACGATATTGTTTTGAGTTGTAATTGGAATTAAAATTTTTAAGTATTTTGTTTATTCACACAAATAAAAAAAATCAAGGAGTCATGATGTAAAATACGAATGTGTACAATGTAATTATAAATATTTTTAAAATAATAATTACTTATTCAATAATAATTTTGGATGTAAAGTACGAATGTGTCCGAATGTGTCCGAATGTGTTACCAAATTAGACCTTGTTTGGATTGTCATTTTTTTTAATTTTTTTATTTTTTCACTAATCTATTTCTTGATTATTTTTATTCTACACATATTAAATCGTTGTCGTACATTTTTCTACAAAAATTTAAAAAATAATTTGAAAAAGCTATTTTATTAAAGGATTTTTTTAACGGTTGTCCTAACACATTTAATATTCACCTAATTTATTATATATATATACACATATACTAACAATTATTACTATCTTTGCATTTATATATTTTTTATATACAAAGAAATAAGTTTGATGTGTCTTAGATTTGGGGTATTTTTAGTTTTTCATTTAATAAGTTAAGTAGATATCTAAGACAAAATATACTTGTCCACTGCCTATGGTTTAGTGGTAAGGGCTTCTTATGACAAACACAAGGTCTGGTGGTGTTCGACTCTTGGTGGCTGCAATTTAGAAATTCATTTTGAAAAGTTTCAAAAACCGCCGGTTCACGGTCTAAGCAGGTTTTCACGGTTCGTCCGAGGTTTCTAGTGGTTTTTGACTACTCTCCGGCTTTAGCTCTAGACCGGACCGTTGGTCTGTCCGGTTCGCGGTCCAACCGGTTGAACCGGTCGGTCCGGTCCGATCCTGAAAACATTGGTTACAATATGTGATCTGAGCCGCACAAAATTTTTTGACCAAATCATGGCCGTCAACTGCCAGGAACGGTCCCATTTCCCCTAAAAAGAGCTTTTTCCAATTGTGGATTCAATTGAGAATATTCCACCGGTAGCAAGCACGTCAATTGGGCCTTTTGGTCTAGGCCTTGGATTAGCAAAAGCACTGGCTTACATTAGAAATCGTATATTTTCACCCAGCTACAAATACTTTGGGCTTTGCACGAGCTCTACTCTTTTAGCTTATTAGGCTTCGGACTCAAAAATAGGCTCGCCCAAATTTTGAAGTGTTTTTTTTTTTAACACACTCTTATCCTTTTCTTGGTGTATCTTAATTGTCATAACACAGCAATTTTATCTGTTAATTTTTATAAATCTGGTAGATGTAATTTTTTAATGAAAAATTAAAAGATGATAATGAGATCAAAAAACTTTTTGATCTAATTAGAAGAATGAAATTCTTATTGCATGCGTAACGTTCTTCAACTTTTTGATCAGTTTCTTTGTCGTCGTGAATTCAACTAATTGCTAATTTTGTTTTTTGTCGCTATTTCACGAATCCAGTGCTAATTTATGGTACCATAATCCGCCTAGTAGCATTCTCATGTAATTGGAGATTGGGAAGTGGACTTGGCAGTCGTCAAGGGATACAAATCCTTGGCAATCGCGTGTAGTTGACAGTGATAGATGGGTTATCGTGAAATTAGACGAATAGATTACATGTAGGACACAAATTTCAATCTATTTAAAAATTTGTCGTATTTTTACATCTTATAGATTGTGTTAATATCTACATTTATCGTGCTAATAGTGTACCATGCAGTTGAAACTAATAACTGCAGAAGCCCTTGATCCGTCATCAACCAACCACTGAATTTTCTTGCAGCCTTCTGCTGCTTCACTGCTGTATCAAACATGAATATTTTTATTTTTCGATACGATAGATCTACAATTATTCTATGTTACGGGAAAGGGGACCTAAAGAGGTCAAGGAAAAATTGAAAGGGACTGAACCACCTATCGGCTCAGACGAGTGCACCATGCACTCCTCTGGAAGCCACTTAAAGTGGCTTACCACATTTTTGTGGCCAATGGTGGGAGGCAGGGTTTGATCCCTTGACCTCCCACCCCACCAATTTTGGTGGTGGCTTAGCTCGGTGGTTATCAAACATGAATACTTCCATTGCGCCTATGTGTCTCATCTCAGTATCTTAATCATATATCCCCAGCCTCAAAGCATTATTTCCTATGCAGTTCCAATAATCCAAACTTAAATTAAAATCAGATTTTGCTTATCTCGCAATGTAGATGGTCAATGATATGAATACTTTCTTTTATAGATGTTCAATTTTTCTCATCAGTACTTAGAGCCAGATGGTATGGTATGGCTTCGCAAGCAATCCATGAACTAATTAATCCATGCTGACAGGAGCTGTTTGAGTAAAGCAGGCAGACGAACATCTTGTTGACAGAAACATAGTTTGTGTAAGATTTCGTGGGAGGAAATTCAAGTGACAAGCATGGTTGTTCTAGAAATTATGTTTCAAGAAGTTTAGGAAGACAGGATATTTTTCTAGAGTAGTTGAGAAATGTAGGACCGAATTGTGGAAAGTGGGATGGCGGATGGGGGGTTCATAGTAAAGTAGCCAATAGAAAAATGAGTAAAATAAAACCTAACTCACAATTTAACTCCACAAATTCTATTCAATTAGGCAAATCACCTTCAAGACACAAGAGTACTTTTCCTTCTTGGAAATTGTTGGCATCTCAGTTTCTGAAGCCAATTATTGATAGTAGCTTTAAGGGGAAGAAATCCTCAAGCAACATGTACATTTCTTGATCAGAGAAATATTTATGATTCAGTAAATATTGCCAAAGCAACAGACACCAACTTCAACTCAGGAGTTCTAACAAGCCAAGCGTGAACTAGTAAGGAACTTTTCAACATTTCTGGTTCCCAAATCTTTCCAATGGACACACATGATCATACTACTGTCCGAAGCCAAAACCAAAACCAAGGCCAGAAGGGCACTAGTATTCAAGAAACTGAAGTAACTGTGGTCATGGTTCCTCTTCCAGCACAAGGCCATCTCAACCAGCTGATCCATCTCTCCCGCCTCATCTCCTCCTACAATCTACCCGTTCATTACGTCAGCACGGCCACTCATAACCTCCAGGCAAAGGTTCGTGTCCAAGGTTGGGATCCGCTTGCCATTTCCAACATCCATTTCCACGAATTCCCAGTCCCTTCTTATGAAACTCCTCCTACCAATCCAAATGCCACGACCAAATACCCCTTCCATCTCATTTCAATGTTTAATGCAACAGTCAAACTTCGCGAGCCAATTTATAAACTTCTACAACAACTGTCAAGCTCAGCAAGAAGATTAGTAGTTATTCACGACTCTCTCATGCCATATGTCATCCAGGATGTGGGTTTGATTCCAAATGCGGAGTCCTGCTGCTTTTATAGCACCTCTGCGTTCACTTTCTACTCATATCTTTGGGAATTTGGAGGGAAACCCAGACTACTGGAGCCTGAGCTACTTGAATCACTGGAAGATCTTCCAACTCTTGAAACTTGTAACCCTCCAGAGATTATAGAATATATAAAACTGCAAGAGGATTCCAGGCCAAATAACGCTGGTTACCTGTATGATACATGTAGAGCAATAGAGGGTCCGTACCTTGATCTCCTTGCAAAAGCCAGTACTGTTGATACAGACAAGCAATGGGCTATTGGACCCTTCAATCCAGTTGTGATAAATGAGCAGCAACACTCCAACAAGAGACACTATTGCCTGGAGTGGCTCGACAAACAGGCCCCAAACTCAGTCATTTACATTTCCTTTGGTTCATCAGTTTCGGTATCAGATGATGAAGCCAAAGAGATTGCAATTGGATTAGAGAAAAGCGGGCAAAAGTTCATATGGGTACTGAGGGATGCAGATAAAGTAGGTATTTTTTATGGGGAAGTCAGGAAGGCTCAGTTGCCTGAAGGATTTGAAGAGAGAATCAAAGGGAGAGGAATAGTTGTGAGCGATTGGGCGCCCCAGTTGGAGATTCTTGGACATTCATCAACTGGTGATTTCATGAGTCATTGCGGATGGAATTCCTGTATGGAAAGCATTAGCATGGGAGTGCCCGTGGCAGCATGGCCTATGCATTCTGACCAGCCGAGAAACAGTATACTAATGGCAAAGGTGCTGAAGATTGCTCTATTAATAAGGGATTGGTCCCGGCAAGATGAATTTATGACATCTATTACCATTGAAAATGCCGTGAGAAGATTGATGGATTCTACAGAAGGAGAGGAGATGAGGCAAAGGGCAAAAGAATTGAGCAAAAGAGTAGAGGAGTCCATCAGGGATGGTGGTGATAGTCGTTTGGAGATGGATTCTTTCACTGCTCATATTCTAGGTAGTTTTTTTTTTTTTTTGGCCTAATCAATTATGTTCATGAATCAAAAGAACTTCTGAATTCTAAGGGATACAAATTATCAAGTTCATTCAATTACTAAGAATTTTCAATTACTAAGAATTTTTAATTGTAGTTAGATTAACCATGATGTAAAATGCCAACAAAATAATGTTAGGAATTAAATCCTTTATATCACTATAATTTAAAGGAATAAAGTAATAATAACAGTGTAGTAATACTATAGAATAAAATGGTATTTTTGTCTAAAATTTCTTAACATGTTGAGTTGAATTACTTATGTGGGTGAAGTGACTAAAAGTTAACGTTAGGTGGCAAACTGATAGTAGTGATATAGTTTAAGGGGGAAAGCGATAATAACCCTTCTAAGGGATACAAATTATCAAGTTCATTCAATTACTAAGAATTTTTAATTGTACTACAAGTATTTTGGTATGGTACATTGTTTAGTAAACTTAAGCTGTTTTGTCATTATCGATCCATTTTCATCCACACGTCAGGACGAGATCTCTTTGGAAAATCACATGCCAATAAAGCAAAAGCTAAACTAAGCGGCAATTTGTTTAATTGTCACCTAATTTGGATTATTTGAAATTAAGTTGTTGCCTTGTCATTTCCGAATATATTAAATAGCATCAAGCCTGCAATTATAGATAGAAGAAGTGAAGCACAAAGGTTGACAACCATGTCCGGCAAAAACATTTTGAAATATTTGGTGAGCACATCTTGCTACCAACCTGTTATTTTCTGACTATTTTTTCTTTTCATTGATACAGCGTATCCAAGAAGCATTAAAAATAATATTTCGCTTCTATTATAAACACATTTCTCAACCCACTTTTTTATTTCACATACATCGCATAAAAAAAAAATGCTACAGAAATTATTCCAAATAACACTCTATCCAAATACGATTCAGAAGAAGGCAATAGAGGGATAAACGAGAGACAGCTGTTTAAACAAGAGCAGAGCTCGGCACAATGACATTTGTGATTTTCTTTGTAAATTATTGTACCTTTCTTTCACCAGCAAAATACTTCTCTGGCCCGTCCTAAAAAAAACTCTGTTACATCATTTTTACGGAACTGATATTTTACTAGTGTCTTGGATCCATGCTTTCAAGTCACAGCCGTGAACTTGAGAGAATTCGACCTTGCTAGTCCTGTTCCCCGGAAGTACCCGCTGTGAATCCTCCATCCACGCAAATAACCTGCCCAGTAATGTATGAAGCAGCAGGAAGACAAAGGAATGCCACCAGTGGTGAAATCTCATTAGCTTCTGCAATTCGACGCAGAGGAGTTCGATTCACCAAAGGGAAAAACATACGTAACAGTGATTCATCAGCCTCCTCCTGAATGAATTAAATTTCAGGCTGTAAGTAAAATATTGTCCCCCTAAAAAATAAGAAACAAATAAACAGAATTCATCACACACACACACACAAATTAATTTGCCCCAAGTTTTACACTTGATGGCAGAAGAATTCATAGGAGCATGGGATAATATCGTACTGGTTTCAAAACTGTGGTTCGAACAGCCCATGGTGCAACAGTGTTGACGCGAATGCTGTCCTTTGCCCATTCACATGCCAAATTCTTGGTTAGTTGATTAATTGCACCTGTAAGTTAGGAAAAAAAGACAAATTTTGAGAGCATTCCAGACAGTATTGATATTGGACAGTAACAGGATTTCGTTCTTTTTATTGTTGGTGGATTACCTTTGGTTGCTGAATAAATTGAAAGCCCCGGTAGGGCCGTGGCACCAGCTACAGAGGAGATGAATACGATATTTCCATTTGCTGAAGCTTTTAGCAGTGGATAAGCTAGTTGGCTTAGATGAAATGAAGATTCCAGATTGGTACTCATTAAAAATGAATAATCTTCAGAAGTAGAATTCTCAGCTCGTTTCATTTTCGTGGTTGCAGCATTGTTAACCTAAACGCAAGAATTTCAAAAATGAAGTTCAAGGTAATTTCAGAGTGTGATATATATATATATATATATATATATATGCTGTCTATATATATAAGAGGCATGCTGCTGACCAACAAATGCAGGAACGATGATACATACAGTCCAAAATCCAATTTTGAATATAGAAGATTAACGGAAACAAACAAAAGCCTCAACAGATAGGACGATTTGAATATAGAAGATTACCCTGGGACCTCTTCAGGTCCTCTCCGCCCTCTAATGTAGGATAATCTATCGTATCGACAAAAAAAAAAGTGTAAAGTTCAAATATACGTAACTCCCGAACACCCTACATCTAAAACGTACATGTTAGGTACATATATATCTTATGTGTACTTATCCTATGTGCCCTTCAGCCACCATAGAATAGGAAAAAGGGATAATTTCAGAAACCTCACTTGAGGTTTCTAACATGTGCACTGATTTCCCATGAGGTCTGAAAAATTTCACTGACCTTTCCTGTTAAATTTTTGAGGTCCATTACTTACATCATTCGGGGTGAAATTACTGCTCTACCCTAACACTTCGGGGTTTATTACGAACATTTTTTTGGGGGGAAAAATCTTGGCAATAATTAAAAGAAAGAAACTAGTTAAATGAGAATTTTATTGAGTTTTAGAGCACAAGTGCACAACTGATATAGAAAGATGATGCAGTTGGAATTGGAATTTGAACCTGCCCGTCCCAAATTTCAACTAAATTTTTCAGGATTTTTTTGGTTGTAAAAAATTCTGACATTTAGAGAATTTTAAGATTTGGAACTTAATGACGATTATAATGTCTGTGAAATAAAATTGGTAGTCAAGTGATTGTAATGTTCATATAAGATTTCCTTTTTCCTTTAAAGGGTCTATGACATGTTAAATAATTGTAATGTTTATTTTGCCAGGGAAAAAAAATAACCAAGAAAGATTTAAAAAACCAGAAGATTCAAATCACAATGGATCGCCAATTGATGAACTTACTAAGGAAGAATTCCAACTTTATCAAGTTTGAACAACTTATGCGGCCTAATAATTTGTTGCATCTATAGATTTAAAAAAAAAAAATCTTGGCTAAATCAATTGCAAAATAAAATCAAACGAAAAAGAAGCAAAAATGCATTTGCGAAATAAAATTATCATCTCGCTCATCAAAATACTTTTTTAAAGGTACTCTTTCTAACTTGGACTAATTTGTTATCAAAAATTGATAAGCGATGGAGGACAGTAAAATTTTCCAAACCCCAGGGAGGTTTCTGAAATTATCGCTAGGTAAAGGGACATGAACAAAAGATAGAACCATTTTTGGTCCTACAAACTCTACTCTAGTTACGGTGTGCAATACATCCCAAGTAGTAGTTCCTACAACAGCAGAATGAGCCATAACCTCAAACAAATCCGACAGGACACTAATCAAAGTCAGTCTCAGTTCAACAAAATATTTTGAGCATTATGAAAATCACCTTGAAGCTTGAAAACTAACATAGGAGTGGCGACTTACGAGGATGTTGAGCTTGGCATCAAATTCAGAGGAGACAGTCTTCATAAGCTCTTCTCTCTGAGTTCTTGATAACAAGTCACATACTGAACCGCTCACTTGAAACCCTTTGGCTTTCCATTCCTTTAATCTGTCATTGAGTTCTGTTTGGTTCCTGGAACACGTATGTACTCTGGCACCAAATCCGGCTAGTTCCTCCACTATGGCATGCCTGAAATCAATTCATAAAAGTAGGAGTAGGTAAGGATTGAAACAACGTGATAGCAGACCATTTGCTGAAGATTCTGAACAAGAAAGATGAGAGATCGGTGATATAAGACGAGAGTTCAATTCCACGGACCCAATGCCTCTGGTGCCCCCGGTTACAAGAGCTGTCTGCCCCTTGAGCGACCATCTCTGCTCACTGATTCTGGGCTCTCCATTCGCCATGTGTTTACTTTAATCTGCAATATTCGAGAGAAATCACTTTCTTTGCAAGAACAAATTAACAGGATGAAATTGCTGGTTCAGGTGGTCTCATTAGGGACCGTGGAAAAAAGGCTACTGCAGGAACATTGGTTTTGCAACCAATATCCTAGCTGAACTTTTGGGGCATCAGGGATGGACTGGAACTGGCTATATCTCGCTTGATATATCTCAATCTGGAAGTGGAAGTGGAAGTGGAAGTGGATTGTCAGGATATCATCTCATTCATCAAAACTTCAGATAATGCTCATCATTCCTTTCAATCTCTTATTTCGGATTGCAGATACCTCCTCTTGCAGCTATTGCTGGTTTTGACTCATTACTTTCCCTTAGATGAGGAATATAGAGGAGTTAGCCTCCCTTGCAATGTTTCTGTGGCTTGTAATAGATAGGTGAATTTATGTGTATTTTTCTGGGGAAAATGATCAGGCAAGTCTACAGGAGCAGTGTCTTCTGACCAGGTCCACCTGTCTCAACAAATGCGCTCATAAAGAAAGTGATGTCTCAGCAAATGGCACCACATGGGTCAAAACAGCATTAATCAGTTCAATTTTTGAAGTTTAAAATTCATTTTGGGCGCTAGTTATGATTTACGACTTTTGGTACTTCCGTGTCATCATGAACTATCATGGCCAGCAGAAAAATATTCTGCATTATTTTGTAACAAAAAGCGCCAACGAGATTGGAGGACGGATGGGTTAGGTGTTACGCCAAAAGGGGACATGAGTGAGAAATTCAAGATTTAAAATTTATTACTTATATTTATAAAAAAATAAAAATAAAAAAAAATCCACCTTGGACGTTGAACCCATAGGGTCCTAATCAGAGCCAAGTTAATTTATTGGGTTGATGTGTAATCTGTAATAAAATAATAACAAGTTGGCCTAAGCTAAAAATGTTGCTTTTCATAAGCTTCCAAGGGAAAAAACAAAAAACATGACTAATCACACAAGGCAGAATGGTTTTTAAGTCATTAGTTGCCTCTTTTCATATTTGGACAATCATTGGCGCCAATCATGCAGTGTGGGCTAGTAGTATCAATTAGATGGGAGCCTTTGAGTAGCTAAAATGGAACCACCAGCCTTTGGGCTCTTAAGAGCTTGGTGGAGGTGGGAGGTCAAGGTTTTAAACCATGCCTCCTATCAATTACCATAATAAGTGGCTTTTCTAAAAAATTCAAACGATTGCGTAGTACGCCTGTTTGGTCCGATAGTGGTT